TGGGAGACTTCCTGGTGGGCCAGGTCTGCAGCCGTGGCCACTCAGAGATGCGAGCGCAGGTAGCAGCCCGGGCTCCTCAGGCATCAGGTTTCCTGAGACAGCACGTTCGCCACTGACTTGGGAGCGGCGTGTTTGAGGTTGGGCAACGCGACAGAACTATTCGTGTACCAGGAAGAAGAGCCGGCACATTAGGTCTGGCATGTGGTCCAGCGACCGTGCCAAAAAAACGAGAAAAACTAAACAAGTCCGAGCACTCCTGCCAAGGTGGCGCCTGGCCCTGGCTGCCTCCCTGTTCCCTCAGAGGCTGATGCTGAATTGGCACCAGGCCTTCCCCTTGACCTTGCGGAGGGGGTCTCCCACAGCATCCAAGTGGAAACGGGCTTCCAAAGCAAAATGCCTTCAACCTGTTTCTGGGGGAAGTACCAGAACCCTGGTCCTGTAAGGAGAAGTAAACAGAAGAGAAACCATGGCCAACAACACGGGTCTTTGAAAAATAGCCTGTAGCATCCTGGGAGGAGGACGCCTACAAAGGGTAGAGAAAACAAACAAACAAACAAACAAACATATTTTGGACATTTCTGGAGTAAGGAAAAATAGCTAAAGAATAGGTAAGAAAGCTAAAGAATAGGTAAGAATAGGAAATGATAAAAAAACCTCTAGGAAAAGAACAAAGCTTATTCGTTTTCCTAATGAATCTAGATGGAAACTGCCCTCTGAAAGACGCCCCGACGGTGCTGTCCGTTGGTATTGGGCTGCTAACCTGGGCGGTTCAAACCCACGGGCAGCAGAAAGAGGAAGCGCCTGCCCTGGGGGAGATGCACAGTCTCTGAAGCCCTACTGGGTAGGCTCTCTACGAATTAGAGCCTACTCAATGGCCGTAGATTTTTGTTAATGAAGTAAAAAGAGTCTTCAACTATTTCAAAGGTCAAAGTTTATTACCCTGTCTTTACAAGACATATTTAAAATAATGTAACTAGTTAAAAACAGGTAGCCAGTTAGAGGACAATAGAGCCAGTTAAATATAACAATAATACCAGTTTTAAAATATTTTTGGGAAAGACATAATC